TTATAATAATAATATGAATATAAATATAAATATAGATTCTTGGGTTAAAAGTCATTCCTATCAATTTTGCCTTAAAAATTAAGAGATTTTTTCGTTCTTATACAATATTTAAAATTTGTTTACTAAAATTATTCTAATTTTATATATTACCCGTCCTAAATAAGAATTGTTTATATTTATATATAATTTATTATTAATGTCTAAAATTAGGGGATTCACTTACACCCTTTTCCTTCTTTTCTCTCCTCTTCCCCTATTCTCTGCCAGCTTTTTTCACTCAAAAACGTTTGCATATTGAATCCACAAATGTTACTGTTGTCTTCCTTAGTTTCCGAACAAAGTTAATAAATTCAATTTTTCATAAAGCACCATCTTTTAGGTCTATTTAGCCATTTATAGATACTCTTTGCTATATTACGTGTTATAGATACCTTTTATGTTTTTATACAATGTATTTCATGTATTTAAGCTGTTGTATTCATTAATACAACAAAAAAAATAGACGTAAAAACTGGAATTCCAGCTAAGTTTGACATGTATTTAGCTGTATTCAAGCGGCATTAACGTTAAATACAGTAACGTATCTACGCAAAATCTGGAAGGTTAAACTGGTTAAAAACGGAAGAAAATCAAATCACATGATATTCTCCTAATTTAACTCAACGAACTAAAACGATCCCTCATTAATTTGTATTTGAAAGATACATAATAGAGATTATAGCTGAATAAAGAGAAATGCATATGAATAATACAGTTGAGTAGAACTGTATACAGTTGAATACAACAAAATACAACTTAATTCATCTGAATAAAATACTTGAATACAACAAAATACAACTAAATACAGCTGAATAAAACTCTTGAGTGCAACAAAATACAACTAACTTCTGCTGAATAAAATAGTTGAATATAACTAACTACAACTGAATACAGTTGTATAAAACACTTGAATACAACTAACTACTGTTGAATAAAATAGTTAAATACAACTGATTAAAACTGAATACAAGAGAATACGCATAAATTTTTAATACATCTAAAATATATAAATGAATGCTACTGAATACATATGAATACAACTGAAATATACATTCGAATACAACAGAATACAAATAGGCGATTTGGGTGATCTAGAGAGAGAAACAGCCTTATGGCTTCGCCGGCCGGCGGCCAGCCATTAATTCCAGCTGGTCAGCCCCCTAACACATCTGCCCAACCTCCTACAATAACTACAAACAATCCCCAGCCCTCAAATCCCACAAACGAAGCCATGAATTACGCAAAAGCTGTGAACCCTACTTCGACGACCACTGCCAAGCAGAATCGAGCCGCTACAGTTGAACCAATTACTCTTCGTCTATCAAAATCAACGAATTAAACTTACCCTAAGTGATTGTAATGGAGTGATAATGGAGGAGAACTAGAGAATTTGGGTGGGAGAAGAGGTATGAATCGTGGGTTGAGGGAGAAAGAGTAAAGTGTATGCAATAAGAGAGAGAGAGAGAACGTGGTTAGTCAATTTTACTGTGATTATGTGAGAGAAAAGACTAAAAAGGAGAGAAAAATATTATTTAGCATATATGGTGCCTTAAATGTAGGATGTAACTATAATTAGATATTTGGCTATAAAGTATAAAATGTATCTATAGGATGTAATATTTTAAAATGGTATTTATTTAAAATAAATAGGGTACTAAGGTTTTCTATAGGGTGTAAAACTTCCAAAAAAGAAAAAGCGGACGAGCTAAATAAGCGTTTTTGTTTCAGCGAAACATTATGTGGACCCGGAAGAGAGATATTGATTCTTTCTATCTTCTTTTCTTTTCCATTTTGCATAAATGCATAATTTTCTTTGGGCTTAACTTATAGTATGTAAATTCTAACAACTCTAGCAATATACAAATTAAAAATAAATTTTGTACAAATTTAATACAAATTTGATATGCTTACAACAACATACATACTAAAAATAAATTTCATACAACTAATTATATAGTATACAACTTATCAATAACTTTCATACATTATTTTTACCCAGCTAAATACATCTACAACATCATGCAACTTAAATAGGAGTACAATTTTCGTACAAGTTTTACATAATATATCTTTTGTATGTATTTTGTGTATGATATGTATATATTTTGTATTTGGCGTGTTCTTCTTGCTCTCTAAATTTCTAATCAAAATTTTCTCTCTTAATATTATTTTGATACATATTAAAAATTTTATGTAAAAAAAAATATTTATAATTTAAATACAAATATCATAAAATGATTCATACATTATATGTAACATCCCGAAAAATTTCGAAGTGTTTTAAAATCATTAAAAAGACTGAAGGGTGCTAGTTATATTATTTCGGGTATGAACATGACTAATAATATGAAGGATATGAATTGATAATGATAATATGTGTACAAGGTATATTAATAATGGTTTATGGTCTAAGAAGAGCCCAAAGCAAAAGTGAAGTTGGAAATTATATGATGAGCTAAAGTTTCAAATGTGTTTGCACAAGATTCAATTTTGGACGAGCATATATCCCAATATATGAAGATCTATTGGTGTACGACCTGTCAAATTAAAGGCCTATGAGTCTAGTTTTCTATGCTTCAAACCGTTCTTCATTTGGATATTCCTACAAGAAGTTATGATCTTTTTACTAAAAGGTAGCACAGAAGCCACGTAGCTACGTGAGCTATGCGTAGCAATGTTGCTTTGAGCGTAGCTGATTCTAGCAAGCTTGTCAAAGGAAGGGTATCTAAAGAGTAAGTGAGTGTAGCTACGCTAGAGGAGGTAGTAGCTACATGTTTAAAAATGGCTATTTCAGGAAGAGAGAATGAAATTTTATTTTTGAGTTAGGTCTTGATTCTAGAAAGAAGGAGGAGCATATCCCTCGTCAATACACTTAAAGGTAAGTGTTTAAGATGCATTTGTGGCTACATAACACCATTTAATATTAGTTTTAACATCATTCATGGATCAAATTCCATAGGAGTATTGAAGCTTCAAGGACACCAAAAAGAGGAAAAGTGAGATTCTTCTAAGAAGAGGTAATCCCTTCACTTGAGCTTTACTTATATGATATATTGAAGTATGGGTAGCATATTTATGAGTTTAATTTGAAGTTGCAATGAGATATTGTATAAACCCTAAGGGTGGATCTTGAAAATGATATTTCGGCAAATAAGAAGATGAATAGTGGAGAATTGATATAAATGGATATGTCTTGAGTATCTAATGATTCCTATAGACTTGATAACTTAATAGATGAACGAATTGAATCGAGAATCGTCATTTGGATAAAATATAATACTAGTTTTTGAAATGGATGTTCTTGAACCTAGGGTTTTATTGGAGAATACAATTTAAAGTGACTTGATGATGTTGGGTAATTAACGTAGTATCATTAATGACTCCAAATGAGTATTAAATGATAAGAATGAAACTGAATAGGCTAATGGGTGAACCTATTGTATAACTTGGGATGGTTGAAGGCTTATTTCCAAATTGTGAAGCATAAATGGATATTTATGAATCTTTTCGAATTATTTTGATGTAGATGATATATCTAGTGGTAGATATTGAATTATGGACGATATTTGGGCCTTTTAATCAATTGGAGCATTATAGTATTTTTGGAGCTTGAAGGTTAAGGTAAGTTGATTGTGGCTTACTCTTCTTGAGGGATTCTCCCTAAATACATGATTTGTTAATACATGATATTACTTATAAATCTGCATCCGTACTTGTGGGAATAAGCGGGAAGGATGTCACCATGTGTTTCTAAGTTTGTTGATTTTGAAGTATCATGTGATAATAAAAAACTTATGTTTTAAAACTTATTTGCAAGATGCACTTAAGGAAAGCGTTATAAGTTTTATTAAAACTTATTTGTTGATAAGAGTATAAAATGTTTGAGTGTTAACGATATGTTTTCATGAAAAAAGATTTGCTTTTTAAAATTTCAACAAAGAAAGCACTTGTTGTATCTTTAGTTTGATGTTTAATTACCAAATGTTTTGACATGAAAAAGGTTATTCATTTGATGTTGTTCAAATGGATTGGATTGGCTATGAAAATCAAGGTTTGATAAAAATAGATCCTTTGAGGCAATTATGCTATGAATCTATTTTTGATATTCAAATATTTTGGGAGTTACTAGTGGAGATGACCAAAATTGGTTCGAATTTTAAGTTCGTTACCATAAAACTACATGTGCCGGTGTAGGGACGCATTTCAAAGCTAAGCCGAGGTTTGTGGTATGAAGTCCCCCATTTAGAGGGAAAATGATCACTACTTAAAGCTAAGCCGAGGTTTGTGTGAGCATATAATTTTGGACTTCTATGTCCAGCGGTATCCCTATGAGTGGGACTGGTGGCTCGGTGAGTGGTTGGGTGGATATATGATGAGTAGGATGTGACTAGACCTGTTAAATGGGTCGATCCTACCTAGGCCCGAACCCATTGACTCCTGGCCTGTTGGTCCTTAATCGGGCCGGGCCGGTTCACTTTTTTATAGGGGATGGTCCGGATTTGACCCATTAATCAATGATTCGACCCGAACCCGGACTCGTAACCAATAATCCCTTAACTAGACCTTAATGGGCCGAATTTAATTTAATTAAAAAAAGTTAAAAGCTAATAAAATAATAAAATTTCAAACTTTATACATATATACAAACTTGAAATTACTACATTTACTTGAAGCTAGTTAGAATAAAAATGAAAGAAAAATTATACTTTATTAACATTAAAACTTGAGAAACATATGAAATTCGACTATTTCTATAACTAATAGTATAAAACATATGGAATTCGACTATTTTGACAAGATGCCTCATAATGTCTGGTACTATATTCTTTCTTCAATGCTTGGATTTTATTTTTTACCACTTATCTGAATATATATATATATATATATATNGAAGCCCATTACAACTTATACAAAATTTAAAAGGGTTATCTGACACCCTTCTAGGGAAAAAGAAGCAGAAAGCTTCAAACGGCGGAAAAAAAAAAGGAAAAGAGAGAAGAAGAAACAGAGCAAAATAAGAACAAAACATTCAGGACCATTAACGGCGGCGGGCAAAGTTATCGGCGTGAGCTTTCACAGGTAAATTTTGAATTTGTCCAACATTGTATTGTACTTAGAAAATAAGTATAAACAAGTAAATTCTTGAAATAAAAAGGGGTATGGGTAGTGATGGCTCAATTATGAGCCATGTGATGTTAGTTTAATAATTATTATGATGTTTGTAAGAATTAGCTAGTGATGTGGTAATGATTACTCCCTCCGTTTCAGTTTATGTGAACCTATTTCCTTTTTGGTCCGTTCCAAAAAGAATGACCCCTTTTTAAATTTGAAAACAATTTAGCTTAAATTTACAATTCTACACTTAATGAGAAGCTTTTATAACCACACAAATACTCTGGGCCCCTTTTTGATTTGTTTAGGACCACAGACTTCAAAAGTCTGTATTTTTTCTTAAACTTCGTGCTCATTCAAACAGGTTCACATAAATTGGAACGGAGGGAGTATAAAGTAACAATAATAGTAAAATATTGGGTTAAAAGTTACTGCTATGTAGAGTTATTTTGGTAAAACTTCTTAATATTGGTTTATAAGATGGAATGATTGCCAATGATTTGCATCATGATGGTAGTAATAATGATTTAAGTTTTTGGGGACTTAAGAATGCATCAGAAATCCATGTTGCCTCTACTGTTACTGGTTTTATATTTAGATACTAAGGATTAGCCAATAACTTATAATAATGAGATGATGGATAATGATTAGAATAACGAGGTTAGGTGGATTAATTAATTAAAATACATTTGATAAATTGATGCTGAAATATAAACTCGGAGGATTGGGTATTCTACATTAGTGATGGATTTAGCCTAAATGAGAAAATTAACATGGGATCGATATTATGTAATTATAGATTGATTGGAGGAATTTGTATGAATCGCATGAGGTGAAATATATGGTATTTCGGCACGAGTATTGTGAGTAATAATCTTACTGCAATTTGTGTTTTCATAACTTGCATGATTTACACATGATTTTCAATGTGTATGTTACCAATTATTTTAAGTTGCATGTGGGACAAGTTTTTTACTCGATATGTGTGATGACCCAAAAGGTCATCTCTTCTTTTAAAGTCAAATCTATGTTTCGAGGCCTTAAAAACTTCTTTTGCCTCACCTCAATTTGCGTGAGCAGTCCGGGCGTATATCCAGAAAGCCTTTATGTGAAAATTTGAGGAAAACGCTAATTTTGCCTTTAAATCAACCTTAAAACAGAAGTAGAAACGGCAAAAAGTCATAATTTCATATCTTTTTCCATATAAATCAACCTTGGGCGATTTTTGAAGAGGGATATCATCACCAAATCATAGGTATGTGTTCTTAAACTCATTTCTTTCATTTTTCATCATCACTCGTTAGATTTATAGGCCTAAATCTTGTTCTTTAAGGGTAGAAATTAGGGATTTTAGGAGAATTGTGGATTTCACAAATTTGGAGATTTAGACCTCGATTTGGGGTCGGATTCCGAAACTAATTGTATATTTGGGGTCGTAGGTGAGTGGGTGAACGGGTTTTAGTTCGAACCTCGAGTTTTGACCAAGTGGGCCCGAGGTCGAGTTTGACTTTTTGGAAGAATATTGGGAAATGTGTAATTTTTCATTTGAATTGGTTTCTTTGTCTTCAATTAATGTTAATAAGTTAATATTGGCTAGCTATAAGCGGATTGAAAGTGAAAATTAAGGGAAAAGCAGTATTTGGGGATTGAGTTTGGCCGTGAAATCGGGGTAAGTGTTTGGTCTAACCTTAACTTAAGGGAATAGGTGTTGTGTCTTATTTGCTATGTGTTAGTGTTGAGTACGATGTATAGGTGAGGTGACGAGCATCTATACGTCGGTGTCAAGTATGCTCGTGAGTCTTATACTAGTATTGTTATGATTTTTATTATTTAATGTTCATGCTTAAATTGATGGTTATCACTATGGAACAAGACTTATGATAAATTCGTGGTAATTGACCATTTTTGCGTATTGGCTCAAGTTGAGGTTTATTTTGTGAAGTAACTGTTGAAACTAAATTGGTTATAGCTGATGCTCTTGCCGGGATAATATTGTTTCTATTATTGACTCCCTTACTAGGATGATATTGTTTATATTGTTGACTCTCTTGCCGGGACGGTATTGTTTCTATTGTTGATTCCCTTGCCGGAATGTTATTATTTCTATTGTTTGGGTGAGGAATAGTGTAAAGCACGAAGGGTGATGTCGTGCATGATATTATGAGTGAGTGTTAATGCACGAAGGGTGATGTCATGCCGATTCTGTGAGTGTAAAAGCACGAAGGGTGATGTCGTGCCTCATTATTGAAAGTAAAAGCACGAAGGGTGATATCGTGCCATGATTACGAGAGAGTAAAAGCACGAAGGGTGATGCTGTGCCATTTTTGTTGATTTCTATGGTGAGGACGAGAGTAAAAGCACGAAGGGTGATGTCATGCACTTGTTACTGTGTTATCATTTCCGTTGCTCCAAGTTTGATATTTACTTTGTCGCTTTACTTTATTATTGTCATAACTTGATATCCCCCTCAGCATGTCCCCTCCCTCTTTTTCCGTCTTATTCTATTAAATTCTTGTTATTATTACTTCTCGTATATGATTTAACTGTATAAGTTTATGTTTGTCGCATCCTAGCCTCGTCACTACTTTGCCGAGGTTAGGCTCGACACTTACCAGTACATGGGGTCAGTTGTACTGATACTGCACTCTGCACTTTCTGTGCAGATTTTGGTGCTGGATCTCGTAAGTAGAACGTGGGTTGCTTGCCTTCAGTCCATAGGAGACCCGAGGTAGATTTGTCGGCATTCGCAAACTCCAGAGTCTCATTCCTTATGTTTTAGATATACTGTCTCTTTTCATTTCGAGAACAATTGTATTTTCTTTCTAAACTAGTATTTGTAGAAATTCGTAGATGTTCGTGAATTTGTGACACCAGATTATTGGGTAGATATGTATTGGAGTATTTGAACCGTTACGTTACTTCCGCATTTTATATCTGCTTAAGTTTATTTATTAGTTATTTCTGTTTGGGTTAATTGATAACATGTTAAAATTCATAGTAGTTGGTTTGCCTAGCTTTCACAAGTAGGCGCCATCACGATCCCGACGGTGAAAAATCCGGGTCGTGACAAGTTGGTATCAGAGCACTAGGTTGCCTAGGTCTCACAATTCATGAACAAGCTAGGTAGAATATGAGGGATCGGTTCGGAGACATATGTTCTTATCCCCTAGAGGCTACAGAATTTAGGAATAACTTCACATTTATTCTTCTTTGTCATGCGATTTGACTTCTCAATGCTAATTAAACTTCTACTCTATTTTTTCACAAATGGAGAGAACACGTGCTTCTTTATCCACTGATCAGCATCCCGAGCCCCCAATGGTAGCTCCTACGAGGGGTAGAGGACAAGGCCGTGCTAGAGGCCAAGGCAGGGGCAGGACTTAGCCCAGAGCAGCATCACCAGCGGCGGAGCCTCAGGTAGAGTTTGATGATGAGGTTCCAGCCCAGACCGTTCCAGTAGTGCCAGCTGAGGTTCTAGAGGGGTTCATCAAGATGCTCTGGTCCGTCTAGTGGGCCTTATGGAGAGTGTCACCTGGTCAGGCTTACTTCTTGTAGCATCAGCCGTCTCTCAGGCTAGGGGAGGAGCACATACTCCTGCTACTCGCACTCTAGAGTAGATGGCTCCTCAGTTTCAGACTCCAGTAGCTTAGCCAGTTGGGGTAGTTCAGTCGGGTGTTGTAGCTCAGACCGGTGATGGAGCAACTATGTATGCATATGCTTTGTGGAGGTTAGACATGTTCACCAAGCTCTTCACTACTACCTATGGCGGTACATCTTCAGAGGATCCCCAGGACTATTTGGACAGTTGTTATGAGGTTCTACAAAACATAGGGATAGTGGAGACCAATGGGGTTGACTTTGCTGTTTTTCGTCTATTAGGTTCTGCCAAGACTTGGTGGAGAGATTATTGTTTGGCTAAACCAGTTGGGTCACCGGCTTTGACTTAGGACCAGTTCTCTTAGCTATTTCTGGAGAAGTTTCTTCCTATCACTCAGAGGGAGAACTATCGGAGTCAGTTTGAGCGTTTCCAGTAGGGTTCTATGACCGTCACTCAGTACGAGACCAGATTTATTGCCTTGGTCCATCATGCTCTTATTATACTTCCCACCGAGAGAGAAAGAGAGGGTAAGGAGGTTTATTGAGGGACTAGCTCAGCCTATCAGATTGCAGATGGCTAAGGAGACAGAGAGTGAGATTTCTTTCTAGGATGCAGCTAATGTGGCCAGGTGAGTTGAGATGGTTCTATTACAGGGGAGTGGTCAGGGGTCTAACAAGAGGCCTCGTCATTCTGGCAGGTTCAGTGGTGCCTCATCTGGAGGCAGGGATTCTTTTGGTAGTGGCCATCCTTCTAGGCTATTTCATTCAGCACTTCAGGCTTATCACGGTGCTCCAGGTGGTCGTGGTTCTTATATGCAGTATTCGATCAGCTGGCCTACAGTGCACCACCAGCTCCTACAATGCACCTCCACTCCAGAGTTATCATGGTGGTTACTCAGGCCATTAGGGTCAGTTTTAGGTCCAGCAACCTCAGTAGCCGAGGTCTTGTTATACATGTGGTGATCCGAGGCACATTGATAGAGTTTGCCCTCGAGCATCGAGTAGTTCTCAACATGAGGGTTCCCGTGCCATGGTTCCAGCACTTGGGCTTCCACCTCCCGCTCAGCCAGCTAGAGGTAGGGGTCGAGGTGTTAGAGGTGGAGGTCAGACAGCTAGAGGTGGAGGCTAGCAGCAGGAGGCCGTCCTAGGGATGTAGTTCAGAGTGGTGGGGCCCAGCCCCGGTGTTATGCTATTCCTGCTAGACCTGAGACTGAGTCCTCCGATGTAGTTATCATAGGTACGGTTTCAGTTTGCAGTAGAGATGTTTCAGTTCTATTTGATCCAGGGTCCACATATTCCTATGTGTCATATTATTTTTCCCCTTATCTGGTTGTGCCCCGTGATTTTTTGAGTGCTTCTGTATATGTGTCTACACAAGTGGGTGATTCTATTGTGGTAGATCATGTCTATCATTCGTGTGTGGTTGCTATTGGGGGTCTTGAGACTAGCGTAGATCTCCTACTTCTCGATATGATGGATTTCGATGTCATTTTGGGGATGGATTGGTTATCCCCTTATCATGCTATATTGGACTGTTATGCCAAGATCGTGACCTTAGCATTGTCGAGGTTGCCTCGTTTAGAGTGGAAAGGGACTCCTGGTCATTCTACTAGCAGGGTTATCTCATATGTGAAGGCTCGACGTATGGTTGATAAGGGATGTTTGGCCTATTTGGCGTATGTTCGTGATTCTAGTGCTGAGGTTCCTTCTATGGATTTTGTTCCCGTTGTCCGTGAGTTTCCAGAGGTATTTCCTGCAAACCTGCTGGGTATGCCACCCAATAGGGATATTGACTTTTGCATTGATTTGGCTCCGGGCACTCAACCCATTTATATTCTGCCATATCGTATGGCCCCGCCAAAGTTAAAGGAATTGAAAGAACAGTTGCAAGACTTGCTGGATAAAGGCTTTATTAGACCTAGTGTTTTGCCTTGGGGTGCGTCGGTGTTGTTTGTTAAGAAGAAGGATGGATCGATGAAGATGTGCATCGATTATCGGTAGTTGAACAAAGTCACCATCAAGAACAAGCATCCACTGCTGAGGATTGATGATTTGTTTGATCAGCTTCAGGGTGCCAAGGTATTTTCGAAGATTGATTTGTGGTCTGCTACCATCAATTGAGGATTAGGGTGTCCGATGTCCCTAAGACAGCTTTCCGCACTTGGTACAGGCATTATGAGTTCTTAGTGATGTCATTTGGGTTGACAAATGCCCCAGCAACATTCATGGATTTGATGAACCGAGTGTTCAAGCCTTATTTGGATTCCTTCATGATTGTCTTCATTGATGATATTTTGATCTACTCCCGCAGCTGGGAGGAGCACGAGCAGCATCTTCGAGTGGTTCTTCAGACTCTGAAAGACAGTCAGTTGTATGCAAAGTTTTCAAAATGTGAGTTTTGGTTGAGTTCAGCAGCATTCCTAGGTCACGTTATATCAGCAAAGGGTATTTAGGTGGATCCTAAGAAGATTGCGGCAATTAAGGACTATCCTAGACCCACATCGGCCACAGAGATCTGGAGTTTCTTGGGTTTGGCGGGCTATTACCGTCGGTTTGTGGAGGGGTTTTCATCTATTGCAGCCCCGATGACCAGATTGACTCAGAAGGGTGCCTAGTTTAGGTGGTCGGACGAGGGTGAGGTAGACTTTCAGAAGTTCAAGATAGCTTTGACTACGACACCGATATTGGTATTGCCTATAGGTTGAGGGCCATATACAGTATATTGTGATGCATCTCATATTGGACTTGGTGCGGTGTTGATGCAGAATGGCAAGGTTATTGTTTATGCTTCGCGACAGTTGAAGATCCACGAGAAGAATTATCCAGTTCATGATTTGGAGCTAGCAGCCATTGTTCACGCGCTGAAGATTTTGAGGCATTATTTATATGGAGTGTCGTGTGAGGTATTCACAGATCACAAGAGTTTGCAATACTTGTTCAAGAAGAATGAGCTAAATTTGAGGCAGAGGAGGTGGTTAGAGCTATTGAAAGACTATGATATCACCATCTTGTATCATCCGGGGAAGGCCAATGTAGTGGTCGATGCTTTGAGTAGGAAGTCAGCTAGTATTGGTAGCCTTGCGTATATTCCAGTATGTGAGAGACCGCTTGCTTTGGATGTTCAGGCTTTAGCCAATCAGTTCATGAGGTTGGATGTTTCTAATCTCAACCGTGTTCTAGGTTGCAAAGTCGCTCGTTCTTCATTATTTGAGTGTATCAGAGATCGGCAGTATAATGATCCTTATTTGCTTGTCCTTAGGGATACGGTGCGGCGTCGGGGGTGCCAAGCAGGCTACAGTTGGAGATGATAGAGTTTTGAGGATGCAGGGTCATATTTATGTGCCTAATATGGATGGACTTCATGAGTTGATTCTAGAGGAGGCCCATAGCTCCCGGTACTCTATTCATCTGGGCGCCTCTAAGATGTATCAGGACTTGCGACAGCATTATTGGTGGAGGAGGATGAAGATGGATATTGTAGCATATGTAGCTCAGTGTTTGAATTGTCAACAGGTAAACTACAAGCATCAGAGACCTGGTGGTTTGCTTCAGAAGATTGAGATTCTTGAGTAGAAGTAGGAACGTATCACTATGGATTTCGTTGTTGGACTCCCACGGACTCAGAGGAAGTTCGATTCTGTATGGTAATTATGGATAGGTTGACCAAGTCAGCGCATTTCATTCCTGTGGCAGTTTCCTATTCCTCGGAGCGGTTGGCTGAGATCTATATCCAAGTGCTTGTTCGTCTTCATGGTTTGCTCGTGTCTATTATTTTTGACCGAGGCACACAATTTATCTCGCATTTCTGGAGGGCAGTTCAGCGTGAGTTGGGTACGTGGGTCGAGTTGAGCACATCATTTCATCCTCAGATGGATGGACAGTCCGAGCATACTATTCAGATTTTGGAGGATATGCTGCGAGCATGTGTTATTGACTTTGGAGGTTCTTGGGATCAGTTCTTGCCATTAGCAGAGTTTGCCTACAACAATAGTTATCAGTCGAACATTCAGATGGCTCCCTATGAGGCATTATATGGTAGGGGGTGTCGGTCGCTGGTTGGATGGTTTGAGCCAGAAGAGGCTCGATTGTTAGGTACAGACTTAGTACAGGATGTCTTGGATAAGGTTAAGATTATTCAGGATAGACTTTGTACAACTCAGTCCAGGAAAAAGAGTTATGTCGACCGTAAGGTTTGTGATGTGGGATTCATGGTCGAAGAGTGAGTGTTGCTTCGGGTGTCGCCCATGAAGGGCGTGATGAGATTTGGGAAGAAGGGCAAGTTAAGCCCTAGGTTCATTGAGCCTTTTGAGATTCTT